AGACATTGCCCATGGAATCTTCACCATCTCATTCTTCTGTTCTCACTTGAAAAGTAGCATTTGGTAGATGGTAGCCAGATTATTAATGTAGTAGGTTTAACATAGTAGTATAGAAATCAGGTAAGAGATGCACAAAGTTAAAATAATATTAGATTGAGGGAGATTGTTTAACTTAAACCATTAAATAACTTTTTTTTTTACTTTTGCTGCTAGGTTAGGGTGGTTATGCAGCTATCTGTCATTTCCTGAAATTAACTTTCATTTGTTTTATGAACAAGACTGTCTATATAAGTTTACCCTAGAAATCCATAGGTATTTTGGGAAATTGAATTATAAGTGGCTAGACTAACCAAGTTTTATTTTTAGGCGAACTTAGATCGCTGTATAAATCTTAATAAAATCAATCACATATGGTAACTGGGGGAGGGGCTTCTTCTGTTTTTTAGCCCAAGATATGTTGAATTTATTTGTTTTTATTTTTTGAAATGTGGTCTTGCTCTGTTGCCCAGGCTGGAGTGCGGTGATACAACCACAGCTCACTGCAGCCTCGACCTCCCAGGTGCAGGCAATCCTCTCACCAGTCTCCCAAGTAGCTGGGACTATAGGCATGAACCATCATGCCCAGCTAATTTGTTAATTTTTGTAGAGATGGGGTTTCACTATGTTGCTAGGGCTGGCCTCAAACTCTTGGGCTCAAGCGATCCTTCCACCTTGGCCTCCCAAAATGCTGGGATTATGGGTGTGAGCCACCATGCCTGGCTAATATGATGAATTTCCTATCCACATAATTTGTTAAAGCAAAAAGAGGAATCTGGTTATTCTGTTATCCTGCTTTTTCTTGGGAATATTTATTTTCAAATGATTTGAGTCCTTCAACTCAACAGTCTCATAACCAGTAAAAGGAAATGGAGATTGGTGGGAGAAATTAAAACATAAAGGACAGGAATAGGGGAAATAAAGGAAGAAAAGGTCACAGACATAGAAGTGTGGAAGTTGAATTCAAATTAATTTTTAATTGAGTACCTACTATTGGCCCCTCAAAATGGCTGACAGTAGCACTAACTGTTTTAAGTTTAAATGAAGGAAAATCAAAACACACAGCATTTTTTATTTTTAAAACACCATTCTGAATCAACCATTTAAATAAAGTTTTGTTTTCCACTCACGTTTTCACATTATTCAGCATGTTAATTGGGTACCCACTATTACTAGCCACCTTACCAGGCACAGCAGATGACAGATGAACAAGGAGCAGTCTCATAGGAGCTTTATCACGTGTTCCTAGGCTGAAAAGGCCCTTCTTTGTACTTCTTGGTAGGTGTAGTACAGGAATGTAGAAGTCAGAAACCTACATTTAAACTCCAGTTCTAATATATATAGCTTCTGTGTGATTTAGGAAAAATAATCTCTCTGAACCTCAGTCAGGTTGGAAAATTAGTATGATACTTACCTCATAAAGCTGTGGAGATTAAAATTATGTATGTAGAGCAATTAGCACAGTATAGAGTGCACTAAATAAATGGATGCTGGGGTTATTGAGAGCCATAGGATGGATGGATCGTGGGTTTCCAAATATGGGATGCAATTTCAAGTTCTTAACACCAAATTTAACACTACTTGCTGTAGTTTCCTGGCATTCGTCCTATCACCCCCAGTTTACTGCACCTCAGGTTATCAAGGATATGGGAGGGATTCTACAAGGATATGTTCCCCCAGAGCTTTTTGGCACCCTGCAATCCTAGAACTTGTTGATGCTAGGATGTCTGGAGAGCACTGGCCATTTATCACTGAGAAACATATGTTACAAAGGAGATGAGGGTAGTAAGTAAAGTTGAGGAACTGACCAAAACAGATTAATGGCAAAAAAAAGGAAAATATTTTAAATTTTAATTCATGATAAAAACCCAGTTAAAATTAGGTATACCAGATTTCTTTATTCTTAACCATTTGTGCACATACACTCAGATTTTTTTATTTTGGTAGTGATTTAGCTGTTAACAACAATGACACAAGTTTTATGTTTAATTTAAATATTACAATGGTTAAACTGGTTTTGGGGGAGATTTTCCAGGAATTTAATAAATATGGAAGTTTCTTAACTACTGACATACAGGAATGAGTATTGTTTAAAGAAAAAGTTGCCAACCACCACCAACCTCTACATTTTAGAATATAAAAGATAATATCTCAATTATTTTTTCCTCTCCTCATCATTACTCACAAAATATCTCAATTATTTAGGCATATCCTTGGCCTGTTCATAAAATTGTTCCATTAGGCATTCTATAATTATAATCATATTATTTTTAATCCCTGCTCATCTCACCTATAATTTTCAATGTTTTTTATTCCATTTTTATATCCTGTTCATATATTTTTTAGCTACAGTAAAATGTAATTTTTCATGATTATTGAGACAGGGTCTCACTGTGTTGCCCAGGCTAGATGGAGTACAGTGGCATAATCTCAGCTCACTGCAACCTCTGCCTCCCAAATTCAAGAGATTCTTCTGCCTTGGCCTCCCAAGTAGCTAGAATTATAGGCATGTACCACCACACCTGGCTAATTTTTATATTTTTATTAGAGATGGGGTTTTGCCATGTTGGCCAGGCTGTTCTCGAATTCCTGAACTCGGGTGATCCACCCACCTTGGACTCCCAAAGTGCTGGATAACAGGCATGAGCCACAGTACCTGGCCTCTATTTTTCCTTTTAATTAGTGTCCTGACTGCCCTGGCAAACTGTCCTTTTTTTTTTTTCATTACTTGCCCCTCTGGAATCCTTCTAATTGAATTTTTGTCCATACTGAAACTGTTAATTACACATTAAACATTTGCCATATGCCATTTAACCTATGTGGGTCATTTCTGATTTTTTTTTTTTTTTTCAGAGATGGAGTCTCACTCTGTTGCCTAGGCTAGAGTGCAATGACGTGATCATAGCTCACTGCTGCCTTGGACTCCTGGGCACTAGTGATCCTCCCACCTCAGCCTCCCAAGTAGCTGGGGACTAAAGGTGCATGCCACCATGCCCTGCTAATTAAAAAAAAAAAATTTTTTTTTGTAGAGCTAGGGTCTTATTACATTGCCCAGGCTGGTCTGGAATTCCTGGACTCAAGCAATCGTCCTGCCTCAGCCTCCCCAGCAGCTGGACTATATAGATGCACGCCACCATATCTAGCCTCTCTGAATATTTTTACCTTACAAATGTGGAGATGAAGACACATTTCTAAGTCCTAATCTACTGCTGCCTTGGTTGTGCTTTATTAATTTCTGAGATTCTTAGTCCTGTTTACTAAGGAATCGTAGAACATGCAAGTTATATTGTACTGCAATTGGTGGCAAGCTTGCTAACCATTCCTCTGAGTTTTCTTACTGTTTAGAATAAAAGGGTCAAAGCAAAAGGGTCTCATAGTGTTCATGAGATAGAAAGAGAATTTGATTATGAGAAAATATTTGATTCCACTATATATCTGTGTCGATTTTCCTTTCATTTTAGATTTGGAGCCTAAGCACCTAAGTTACAAAGGCAGATCGGCAGCTTCCACAAAGTTGATTCATTATACTCACACCCAGGGAGGGCAAGAAGCAACAGCAAGGAATGACAGACAGCTCTGCAGCTCTACCCCAGGAGAGGAAGGAGATATGAGGGAACTGGGTTGGAGAAAAGTGCTAGATATTTTTCATTTTCCCTAATTTAGAAAGCAAGTAGTCTTTAACTTTTTGCCCTGATAAGGAGAACTGTACATTCCACTTTCGAGAAGCCTGTGCTGCCCTGTAGCTAGTTCCAAAATAAAAAGGTATGTCCTGTGTAACATGAAACTCAGAAACCAACATCGAAGTATGGCTTTTTAAAACTATAAACATCTCAGTCATGTAAAATCAGAGAGTAATGTTTATATATTTGCTCGTTAGTACATGTCAAAACACTAAATTAAGGCCCATTCCTAATGGAATAGATAGTCCTTTCTTCAAAGAGTGGTAGTATTTAGAAAAAGCCGCCTTCTTTTATGATGGGGAAAGCCATTGCAAGAAAAATTTTGATGAGTCACAAAAAAAGTGATCCCAAAGAAAATTATGTCCATTATTATGATACTATATACTGTAGTTTGGGAACCTGGTTTATCTGATCTCTTTATACTACTCTCTGATGGTCTCTGGGTTACAGAACTTTTATCAGGTTCCTACCAGTAATAGACATAACACATTTCAAGTTGGATTTCATATTTAATTACTTGATACACTAGTGTAAGAGTAAGACTAATCACTTTTCCTGCTTTTGCTGTTAAATTTTTAAGAAAATTTTTGTGTGTATTCTACCTCTGTCCCCTGACCACTTCCCATTATTTTAATTTTGCACTTGGTTCCTGTGCTATTCCTAACCTTACTAATACTTCAACATATCCCCCACAAATATGTGAGCTCACATTGTGCTCTAATGCTTTCAGTTAGATCTGTCCTAGCCAGTATGTCTCTCAGTTCTCTTGGCAACTTGTTCTTTTATGTAAATTGTATACAAAATATGATTTGCATATTATAAATATGTGAACAAAAAAAGCAATGCTATTAGTGTTCAGAATCACAAATTTATATTTTTTAAATTAAGTTAATTAAAATTCCTTTCGTTATGAAGAGGGTATTATATTTCAAGTAATTCACATTAAAAGACATTCTGTTATGGCCAGGCGTGGGGGCTCACACCTGTAATCCCAGCACTTTGGGAGGCCGAGGCGGGCGGATCACGCGGTCAAGAGATTGAGACCATCCTGACCAACATGGTGAAACCCCCGTCTCTACTAATAGTAAAGTACAAAAAATTAGCCGGGCGTGGTGGTGCGTGCCTGTAGTCTCAGCTACTCAGGAAGCGGAGACAGGAGAATTGCTTGAAACAGGAAAACGGAAGTTGCAGTGAGCCAGGATCGCGCCACTGCACTCCAGCCTGGCGATAGAGCGAGACTCTGTCTCAAAAAAAAAAAAAAAAAAAAAAAAAAAAGGCATTCTATTCAATAGATGTGTTTATTGGTGGGTCAGTTTTGCCAATGTTTTAATTTACATGTAATTATGTAGACCCTCTGTCAGCAACAACACTACTACTACTTTAACTGAAAAAATGTTAAACTGTCTCCATTTATATACTCTGTGATTATTTTATAATCCTCAAGTTTTATAGTCTTTTACAGAAAAAAATGATAATAATAAAGTATGGCGATAAACGGCAATTTGCCACAACGCATTTTCTCCAAATCTTAGGTAGTATAAAACACAAGACATTTTTTTGTGCACTCTACTTTTATAGAACAACCAGATTTATAATTTATCTTTTTATTAGATTTATCAATATACAGGAAGCTTTCTCAAATCTCAAAGTTCCAAAAGTATGTAATTTTAAAGGTGAAAAATCATTTTTTCCTTTAGTTGTCATATTCTTAGAAAGCTATTAAAGTCTATTTATAAACAAAAATAATTGATAAACTAACACTTTAGAAATCAGAATATTTTAAATTAAAATATTTTTAATGAATACAAGATATGTCTTCCTAATTAACTATCATAAATTTAATATCACAAAACAAAATGGCTTATCCCCACTAGTTTTTCAAGTGAGGTAAAGCCATTGGAATTTACACTTAATATAAGTTTTACATGTGATATTTAAATGATAGTATTTCATCAATTATAGGAAATATTAATTTATAAACATTTTCTCAGGTCCATCAAAGGCCAAGTTTGAGCCCATGTCAACCTTAAAGGCTAGATTCAGTGCACCTAACTTGCCTAATAAGCTTGTCAATTTAATATGAATTTCATTAATAAGGGGGAATAAAGAGTAGCTAATTCACTAAAAGTGAATGGGATAGTTTCAAATAATCAAAGAATTTTTAAAATTTAAACAGAAATGGCCAATGATTCTGGGTCTAAAATTTCACAATCTTTAAAAAAGAAAACCACATAGAAATAGTGAAGTCATCACCTTATTGATGAAAAACTAAAGTTTAATAGTCATTGAATGGGTAACAACCACTTGTAGTCTACATTTAAAAGTAATTTTAATCATAGCTAAGAAAAACTAAAAACAATTCTATTAAGAAACAACAAAAATGATAAACATTTAACACCTAAATGTAGATACTTAAAATCCTAAACAAAATTATTATAGTTAAAAGGGCCTTGAAATTTGTTTCTAACAAATCATCTTATATAATCAATTCCTAAATAGCTCATATCCTTTGCTTTGGTGTTTTATCTGCTATCATCTAAACATTAGTACAGTAGAACATCACTTAGGTTCTTTTCAAATGCTTGGCATTATAATGTGATCTCATATCTTTCCTCAAATTAAATTTTGCTCCACATATTCCACATGTATACAGATGAACATCCATGTGCTGCTCCAACTGTTCATTATTTGGGAATATCTGAAAGCAGACCTGGCATATAGTCTCACCAGCAGATAAATGAGAAATCATATGCCGTACATGGTCATGTTTTCTGAAGTTTCCTTGATCACAAATGGAACAGACATACCTGGCCATGCCTTTGTGCATATCATTGTGCAGACGCAACTGACGTTCTCTTAAAAACTGCTTTCCACATGTTTGACAAACAAACTGTTTCTCCTTAGTATGAACAGTATAGTGTTCTCTTAAGTGACACCGCTGATAAAATCCTTTTCCACACAGATTACAAAAATGCTTTCGTCTGTGATCTCTTTCATTTTCTTCCATGATGGCACTCTTAAACATATCTTGATCTAAGCAGCTAGACATATGTTCCACCACTAGATTTTCAGTTTCAAAACGCTGGCCACAATTAGGACATCGAAAAGGGCAGGCAGAATGTTTAAATAACTGCTTTTTTTGGATACTGTTTATCTGGTAATGATTGTCCCTAAAATCATCCAGCATTTCAACAAACATATCTCTTATTTCAGACTGCTCATCAGGATTCTCTTCCAAGTCCATTTTCTCCTCAGTATTTCCTAACCCATTCATGGTCAGATCTTGGGGCTCACCACATCGTTGAGCATGTTCCTGAAGCTGCCTACCCTTTACAAGTATTTGTCCACATTTACCACAGGCACAAATATTTTCAATGTGTTTGGCCAAGTAATGAGATGACAGGTCCTCCTCAGTTATTGTAAGTCCACACAGCTCACAAGATGCATTTTCAGTATCCTCTTGTACTGGACTGCTGTTGTTAGGGGGTCTCATATTCTCTAAACTACCTCTTTCATCAGCACTTATTGACATTCGAGGTTTTAGAGTTTTCCTACCACTTTTTTTTATGCTGACATCTTCTTCAACATAGTATCTATAAAATGGCTCTTCAGGTTCATCTTCTAATTCATCATTGTCAGTGGATTCATTACAGTCTTTATCAGTAACTTTAATAATGTTAAAGTCTTTCAGTTCATCTGTAGGAATATCTTCTGGCTCCATCTTGATAATAATCCTTTTCCTCTCAGCAGCTCTGCTTTTCTCTTCGTTGGCTATTTCAGACTCCACTGTGCTACTTTTTCTGCTTCCAGTGGTTGAAGTTGAATCATCAGCAGCCTGGCTTGTGTCTCCTCTGTATTTGTCCGTCTGTGCAGAAAACGATTTAGAAGAATCTTTTTCACCAAATTCAGCTTTGATGTTACTGTCTTTTCCATCTCTAATATCTACTATTCTATGGTAAGATCTTGTGTTTTGATATAAATGTCTGTTAGTACAGGTCAACACATGCTCATCTAATAATTTTTCACAGCTAAAGCCAAATCCACAACTATCACAGGTAAAACTCCGTCCAAAGCGTCTTGATACACGTTCTTTTGGAGTAGATAATTTGGACACGGAACTTTTTTTACATACATCAAATAGTGGCTCAGGAAAATTACCTAATTGTAAAGACTCTTCATCAGGCTCTCTACTATGTGGTGTATTTACTGTTGAACTTGGCTCTGCACACCACCTGTTGGCTTCATTGCCATTTCGAGCCACAGTATCTTCATACATTCTTACCCCAAATATCATTTTGCTGTTCTGTTTGCTGGAAGCAGAAGAGGAACATTTTGAACTAGAACAATCTGCATCCTGGATGTCTTCTAAGCAGTCAGGAACATTGTACAGCTGTAGGTAGTTCATTGCCACTTTAAACTGCTCAAAACTGGAGGGAGCTGTCATAATTTTGCCTAAATACATAAATTGCAAAATGAGATCAAAACATTCTGCACTAATTTTCATGTTGCTGAGATTCAGTTGTGCAGTACTATGCTGATGGTTCATGAAAAACATTCTAAAATAGGAGCTACAGGCAGCTAGAACTGCTTTGTGTGCTTGAAAGTAAATGTCATCAATTGCAATACAACAGTCACAGAGAAAACCCCATTCTCTTTGGTTGTTTAGCTGCTGAAGGACGTAGCTGCTGTGGCTGGGCTTTGCCATCTTCTATTAATTAGAGACCTATGTAAAACAAAAATATTAAAGTCAGAGAAGATGTAAAAAGCACTTGACAAAAATTTTATCTTTTGTGACTTGTGTGACTTTACTATTACAATCAAGATATGAAGAGCTTTCCATTCTAATATAATAAAATTCAATAATATATACCTGAATCATTTTTTAAATTTGAAGATGAAGACACCCAGGCATTTATTTATTCAGGATTTTCATATTGAAATCATGCCTATAATCCCAGCACTTTGGGAGGCTGAGGCGGGCAGATCATGAGGTCAGGAGTTTCAGACCAGCCTGACAATCATGGTGAAACCCCATCTCTACTAAAAAGAAATTAGCCAGGCGTGGTGGCAGGTGCCTGTAATCCCAGCTACTCAGGAGGTTGAGGCAGGAGAATATCACTTGAACCCAGGAAGCGGAGGTGGCAGTAAGCCAAGACTGCACCACTGCACTCCAGCCTGGGTGACAGAGCAATCAATCAATCAATTTGAACAGAAAAAAAAGACATTAATTTAAAAATACTTGAAGGAGGCCATGTGCAGTGGCTCAGGCCTGTAATCCTAACACTTTGGGAGTTAGAATTACCGAAATAGCCAGCGAAGAGAAAAACTTTGCTTGAGCTCAAGAGTGTGAGACCTCGTCTATACAAAAAAGTTTAAAAAATTAACCAGGTGTCGTGGCATCACATGTAGTCCCAGTTATTTGGGAGGCTGAAGTGGGAGGATCACTTCAGCCCAACAGGTAGAGGATGCAGTGAGCTGTGATTACACCACTGCACTCCAGTCTGGATGACAAAGCAAAAACCCCGTCTCAAAAAACAAAAAAAGAAAACAACTCTTGAAGGATATGAGTAATGAAAGTAAATAAAACAGCAACTTAAACTGAAAGCAATTAGATTGTAAAGTATTAAAAACTTATCAGATGGTTAATAATAAGGAACTATTGCTCATTGTTTAAATGTGAGAAAGGTAATTTGGTTGTGTTAAGAATTCTTATCTTTTGGATATATATACTTCAGTATTTACAGATGAAATGATATATCTGAGATATGCTTCCAAATAAATGGGGTAGGTGTGGGGAGCAATAGATGATACAAGATTGGCCATGTGTTGATAAAATAATCTATTTTAAAAACCCTATTAAGCCTGGGCAACACAGCAAGACCTCGCCTTAAAAAGCCAGGTATGATGAGGTACCTATAGTCCCAACTACTCGGGGGACTGATGCAGGACGATGGCTTGAGCCCAGGAGTTCGAAGTTGCGGTGAGCCATGATCATGCCACTATACTCCAGCTTGGGTAACAGAGCAAGACTCTGTCCCAAAAATAAAAACTAAAAAACCGCATTAGAGTATATAGAAATGGCACTAAACGAACAAGTTTGATCAGTGCCTTTGTCTTAAATTATTGAAAAAGCAATAATTCTATAAAGTTAGAATGTGTCTCATATTGCTCAACATGCATTTCAGGGTATATAGAAGCAGTGGGTTTATTTCAGAAGGTATTTTATTTATCCTTAGAGTGTAAAACTTTTCTTTTTTTCTTTTTTTTTTTTTTTTTTTTTGAGACAGAGTCTTGGTCTTTTGCCCAGGCTGGAGTGCAATACGGCGATCTTGGCTCACTGTAACCTCTGCCTCCTGGGTTTGAGCAATTCTCCTGCCTCAGCCTCTGGAGTAGCTGGGATTACTGGCACTCACTACCACGTCCAGCTAATTTTTTTTTGTATTTTTAGTTGAGATGGAGTTTCACCATGTTGGCCAAGCTAGTCTTGAACTCCTGACCTCAGGTGATCTGCCCACCTCAGCCTCCAAAAGTGCTGGGATTATAGGCATGAGCCACCACACCTGGCCAGCTCTTCCGTTTCTATCTTTCTTTCTTTTTGAGGCAGAGTCTCACTCTATTACCTAGGCTAGAGTGCAGTGGCATGATCATAGCTAACTGCAGCCTCAATCTCCCATGCTCAAGCAATCCTCCTGCCTCAGCATCCAGAGTAGCTGGGACTACAGGTGCATGCCACCACACCCAGCTTTTTTTTTTTTTTTTTTTTTTTTAATATTTTAGTAAAGACAAGATCTTGCTATGTTGTCCAGACTGGTCTTGAACTCCCGAGCTCAAGCGATCCTCTTGTCTTGGGCTTCCAAAGTGCTGGGATTGTGGGTGTGAGCCACCATGCCTGGCCTCTTCTATTTTTTTAATTGTTAAAAGAAGAAAGTAAGGCCAGGCGCAGTGGCTCACACCTGTAATCCCAGCACTTTGGGAGGCTGAGGCAGGAGGATCACCTGAGGTCAGGAGATCGAGACCAGTGTGGCCCACATGGTGAAACCCAGTCTCTACTAAAAATACAAAAAAGTTAGGCAGGCGCGGTAGTGGGCGCCTATAATCCCAGCTACTTGGGAGGTGGAGGCAATGGGAGAATTGCTTGAACCTGGGAGGTGGAGGTTGCAGTGAGCGGAGATTGCGCCACTGCACTCCAGCCTGGGTGACAAGAACAAGACTCCATCTCAAGAAAAAAAAATTAGCAAAAATTCAAATATAGAAGCATACAGAATAAAAACACACCTTAAGTGACGTACCTCTTTTCAGAGGTAACCCCTTCGAACACTCTGGATTATATGCCTTCAGGTCTATTGAGATGCACATATACACAGTTAGCATATTGAGTAGCTACAAGATGTCAGGCACATAGTTTTGCTTTCATTATGTTTTTTAATCTAAATGATATCATACTATATATATACACCTCTCTGCAACAAGTTTTCTTCATTTAACATTAGATTTACTATTAGTGGGCATTTAAGTATTTTTAGTGTAGGAAGCTGATTTTGGATAAGGAAGAAAGGAGAGGAAATATTAAAAAGCACTAGAAATCCTATCATAAAGTTAAAACAAGATCACATTTTAGCCTCCATTTTTAATCTGTACACGTAAAGCTTCAGAATCTATCTTCTACTTAAAAACAAATTCCTACGCAATTTGACTGAACTTAAAAAGAACATTAACAAGCTGTTCAGAGAAATAAAATGTTCACTTTTCAGTCCTATAACTCTTCAAGCCCTGTAGTAGTAATTAAGAGTATCTAAGTTTACGAACTTCTACTTGCTTTTTATCTGTTCCTCACAGATCAAGTATGGGTCACATACCCCTTTCACTACCTATATGCCCATCCTGCTGCCTCTAGGACACAAAGTTCCACAGCTAGAGATATGGGACTGGTAAAATAAAGATGGCTTATGATGAGACCTGCTGCCTTCTTAAAATTGCAACCACTGCACCTTTTCTGGAGGCCAGATCAAGTTTCCGGTAGGTATAATATTTCAAACCTCTGTAACTCAGGTATCTGTAAAACGCTATGAGGAATCATGTTCAGCATGTATCTAAATACAAAAAGCAATGTATGCACAAAGATATTCATTAATGTGTTAGTTCCAATTTGAATGCCTAATAAAAAAAGGAGTTAAGGTAAATCTATGCCCGCCCCAGAATTCACTGTCATGTGGCAGTGAATTAAAAATTACATTTCTGAATGGAAACTACAGAAGTGGGAAAAAAGTTCAGGAAGGAGAGTCAAATAAATAAACACAAGGTACAAAATTATGTTAGAATTATATAAAACAAATCCACACCACAAGCTATTCAAAAGGTGGTGGGGGGGGAAGAGAGAGAAAAATACACAAAAATGCTGACTCAAGCCTGTTTTAAGTAGGATGAGATTTCTATGTCTACAGTCATTTTTGTAGGATTCAGAGACATGTAATAAATAATGAACCATAGGGTAAGAGACAGAGGGATAGGTATTATTTCCAAAAAACCAAAACTTTCTATTAACAAGAGTATTTCAAAAATGAAACAAACTTGTTTGGAGAATGAGTAACCATATTAAAGCAGGAACAAAATGCTATTGAGGACAGTATAGTACAGTGAAAAGAGCATGGGCCTGGGATCAGACAGACCTGGATTCTTATCTAGCTTGGCCACTTTTGGGAACTGGCTTATCCTCATTGACCCTAAGTTTCCTGAATTGTGAAGGTAGAGATAATATACCTCAAATACAATATCATTTATGAGGGTTCACAGAGGCAATGTGTGAAATGTATGGTGCTTGGCATGTAATAATGAAAGTCATAGTAGATGTTGTAATGGTGGCAATGCTTATTTAAGCATCAGGATACATTTGACTTGATCACCCTAAAATTTCCATCCAAATAAGAGTCCATTAGAAAGCCAGTAGTTAATCTATAAAAACTTTCAAGTAATAAATAGTCCAGGTTTGAAATAATGATATAAAGAGCATATAAGTTCCAAGGACCCTTTCCTATCTAGATGAATAGCAGTTTTATCATCAGCAACCAAAATTAATACAACTACATAGAAGATCAATATGTTAGGCACATCTATAGCTATAGTTACAATTCAACTGAGTAAAAGAACATATTCTTTTATTAACATAAAACACTAAAACAAATAAGAACGCTTATAGCATTTTAATGCACATTTATTAATTCAACAAATATTTATTGAGTACCTTTGGTGTACCAGGCACTATATAAAGTATTGATCATCGGCAGTAGCACAAGTATTCTGTAATATCCAGGATACACCATTCAAGGAATTTTTACTTTTCCTAGATCAGTGATTTCATTCAACATGTATTCCGTAAAGTGCCTACTCTACAGAAGAAGACACCATGCTGTAGTAGAAAGAACAAGTGCTCTAGATCAGACAGACCAGAGTGTAAATCCCACTATAGAGCTGGAGGCTGAACAAATGGAAGCTGAACAAATGCTGCATCTAATTTTTAATCCTAACACAACAGTTTTTAGGCTGAACTAGAATTGTAGTTTAAGCAACATTATTATGCAAACATCCAAGTACTGAGTAAAACTGACTTTAGGCAGAATAAACTTATAATAGCAATCATTCACACATATTAGTACCAGCAACTTTGTCCCTGTTATACCTCATTCAGAAAGGCTTTTTTCATTTTTCTTAAATTTTAATTATTTTGTT